GCCAATCACTAGTATGCGCTCATGAGATAAAATAAAGAAATTAAATCCGTTATTGGATGCACCGCATCCCAATAAACAGCGTATCTGGCTTTGAATTTGATGTGCTTGACAACCTGAGCCCCTTCGGGGCCCAGCTTAGCACATTAAATTCAAAGCCAGATACTTCTTTTATTTGTCATCCAAAATGATCATCCCGTGATCTTTCGGATCATTTCAAGACATCCAATAGCTATTTAATATATATATATATACTAATAATACACCATAATATTGCATTATATACTTTATTGTACTACTTATAATTATATAATATACGGATTGCTTGAAGTAACACGAATTTAAAACATACATGTTTGTATAACGATAAGAAATTTGATACAAAATTTTTACGTACCATTATGAATTATATATTAGATATATTACACGAATATAATAATGATAACATGCTGAAATGTAGATTTAAAATTCTAAACAACATGAGACTCATCAATATCATCACTTTGGACTTCGTCCTCATCAAAAATATTTGGATTATCACCATAAATAGATTCCCAGAAAATATCATTCAAATCCCTGCTACTAACACCAACCGTATACAATGCGACATTCCAAAAACCACTCCAACGTTTATTCTGTTTAACAAATACATACATAAGAGCGTTGATAAAATCATACTCATGTATTCGATGATTTTCAAAAAATGCTTGTCTTTCTTCTGTAGATGGGATTCCATATAACCCAGCAATATTATTTGCGAGACCTAAAAAGATAAGTAAATAAAACGGATTCTTAACTAATTCCTTCCAGATTGTTGGTAGATCAAATGTGAGTTGTTGAATCCAAGATAAAGATTTTGAAACTAACAAGAGCTTTATATATAATGCAACTAAACCTAGAATCAAGAATGTTGGTCGAGCTATAATTGCATAAAAGAGTTTATATATAAATATTATACATGGTTCCCATTGCTTTAGTTTAAATTTGAATTTAATTAAATCTGATATGAGATCTAATGATGGAGGTTCATGGAATTCGTTCACGAATGCAGAAGGATTAAGAAAATGAATAAATTTAAATAGTGAAAATTCTGTGATTTCTTGAATAACTTTAATCGTATTTTGAAACAATATTACTTGATTAAGGATCGAGTGAGAAAAAATGAATGCGATGAAATTGCCAAATACTGCCAACAATAGAACCAGGAGAAATGCAAATTCGAGCGTGAATCCAATTCCAGTTGCTGATCTAATTAAACCATTTCGATTGTGTAAACCAGAAGCCACAAGCATATCTGAAATGTAATCATTTCCAGGAAAGTTAATAACTATCTCAAATTGTTTAATAATAAACACAATATTCAATAATAATTGTCCTAATAATACGAGCAATTGCAAGTAAGCGATTAATCCTAGCTTTGTGTCTATCAATTTATTTGCAAATGAACTTAGGTATTGTGTTGTCTTTGGAATTGAGGGTTGAAATTGAGTCCATGAAATTCGATTTTGATTTAGATCTTTTTTAATCGCTCTGTTTAGTTCCTTAAATTCCTCTTTTGCTATCCAATATTCACGTTGGGATTGTGAATCTTCGAGGTTTTTACATTTTGATAACCAAATGCAATAATCATGCCAAAATTGAGTCAATTGGCGAGGCTTTATAGATGCTGAAGGATCATCGGAAGCTTTTTGATAAATTTTTTGCAATTCTTCTTGAATTTCTTGATCATTTAAATATTTTGTAGGTATATTTTTAAAAGAAATATCATTATTAAAGCTATGAGATTTGTAAAAACTTAAAAAAGTTCCTCGGCGTATTGGCATAAAGATCCAAGATATAAGCTCACATTGTCTATTATTATAACTACGTTTTGTTCGAAATGTATTCGTCGAAAATGAACCTTGACTATTATTCATCGTTTAAGTTTTACAACAACAGTGAAAGCAATAAAAAATGAGAAAATGAGGAAATGAGTTATATAGACAATGATTCTTTAATTCCATGAAAGATTTGTATATGCGACACTACATTTTGTTTTTTTTTTCCTGCATAACCTCCTCCTCTGTACAACTTAAATTGGTGTATATCCAAATATGTATTTTGCATTGATGTATTCTAAATGTTTTTATTATTAAATTACTATATTTGGTCCAAAATAATACTAACGGTTGTTTATGCAGCGTTTTGCGCATGTTTGTCAGTTTCTATATACCGACACAATATATTAAAAATTTTCAAACTGTGTATCGGTGTTTGATGTATTACAAGTGTTCTAAAATTTAATAACGATTATGATAAAGCCTGGCCAAAATTCAATTGTAAGTTAGATATGGGCATTAAACTTTGATTGTGTCAGACCAAGTTTGAAATCAAGGGTGTTCTCAAGTAACTTCTTCAATGTGATCTGATAGTGATTGAGATGATGCTCAATTATTACAATTGATCGTTATAATGATTGCAATCATTGTTTGAGCAAACCATCCTTGCTTTACTCTATTATCGC